CCGCAAGAGAAGGTGGATTCATGTTAGAGGAAAATTGTGAAATTTGTTCCTGTATGCTAATGTCGGTTTGAGTTTCAACACTTCTTGATACTTTGAGCAATGATGGACCTTCGTGTTGGAGTGACATGTTTTACTAGAACATATATATTATTTATTTTCATAGTACTTAATAATTGAATTACATATTGGGTTTTGTTATACTTACAATGTGCTTTGATAAATTTTCACCAATAATCACCTATAAAGATATTGGCACTGGTTGTGCTTTATTTAATAAAGTGTAGAATAGCTACTTCATGCACCTAATAACAACAACATAACATATAAACAAACAAAACGGTTTAAAAACACTATTTCATGCAAAAACGAACACCATGTTTAAAATTTTATGACGAAGAATGATAATCGCGTACGAAGTTTACTGAGCACAGAATAAACTTCCTGAACACGAATGCAGGTAATAAACTGTGCAAAAAAAAGACTAACTAAAAAATATATAATTCTCACAATAAAAGAATAACTTTTTATATTGTATTTAATAAAATTATAACAAATGATAGGAACGTTTTGTACAATATTATTAAAATACGTAAAAGTATTGAACAAAAATTTCATACTTTGGGGGATTACATTTTCGCAATGTTGCAACAGTGCTTGATAGCAAAGCTGTCATTTGAAATCAAAATAGTTTTTGTTATAAATATTATTTTTTATTTAGTTTAGTATAAATATAAATTTTGAAATATTTTTTGTTTAATTTTCCGTTATGAATATGTGAATCCATGAAAATTTAAACAAACATGATAAAAATGTTTGCTGATCTTTACAATCCTACATCTCTACAATAATTTGCTCCATCTGAAAATATGATTATATATTATAATTTGATTCTAAATTATTTCATTTAACGCAAAGTGTTTATCTATATTTTAAACCTGTTCAAAGAAGAAATCAAATCTTATTACTGATATTCAATTTTGTCTACAATTGTCTACATAAAAATATAATTCTACCATCATACTGTACTTATTATAAAATATTTTGAAAATGGACAATTTTCTACTACATTGCAAAAGTTTACTGGTAAATAAATTTCTATTTCTATTATATGTTTTAAATATTTATTAAGGTTAATTCATTTGTATTTTTAGACTAACTTGCCCAAGCTTAAATTATTCCGTATTGTTTTGGGAAATGAAGCATGCGACCTGGATTCTGCTATTTCTGCTCTTACTTATGCATTTTATTTAAATCACAAGACAGGCATTCCAACTTTACCTGTAATGAATATTATGGAACAAGAAATTCCACTAAAGACTGAAGTGGTTCATTTTCTCAAACAAAACGATATTCTCTTACATAATTTAATATTCAGGTAAATCACTAATATAGAATCACAAATTTTCTATTCTACATTGACAACATATCACATATAAAATAATAATATTGTCTCTAAATGTATATATAGAAATGCATAGAAGTTTATACTTCTTATAAAATAATAATGTTCTGGTCATATTTGCAGAGATACACTTGATATATCTATGCTGAAGAATTCATCTTTTGAAATAACTTTAGTAGACCACCATATATTATCAGAATATTGGATACCATTTAGCTCAAAGGTAAAGGAAATATTAGATCATAGGCCGAAAGATCCAAGCTGGATGTGGGATAGCTCTGTTCAAGACAAGATTCAAATGGTATTTAACCCGTATGCATGTATATATTCTCTTACAATTAGTATTTTACTTATCAAACATTTAAGGTAGGATCCTGTGCAACATTAGTGGCAAATGAAATATTTCAAAATCAAAATGAACATAACAAAGATTTTCAAATGCTTGCCAAACTTTTACATGGTAACATAGTAACTCTTAAAATAATTATTACAAAACTTGAATGTTTATGAAAAACACTATTTATTTGATTTCAGCAACAATATTGCTAGATACTGTAAACTTTTCAAAATCTGCAGACAGGGCAAGAGAATTAGATGTAAAAATGATTGAGAGGTTGGAAACTGTAATGAATGTCGCACCTGAAGACTTGCTTGAGTACAGATCAAAAATATTCAATGATCTTACTAAGGCTAGAACAGATATAAGCAAGCTAACTCCAATTCAAATTTTACATAAAGACATGAAGAAGCTTGGGCAGATACCAATTTCTGGAATGCCTATTTTAATAGAAGTACACATTTAAGTAAAAGCTTACATAGAACATAATATATTAACTAATTGTTATATTTTTCAGAAATATCTTGAGATCGCTGGTTCCCATGAGGCTATTTTAGAGATGTGTGAATTAAATTCAACAGATATAATTATACTAATGGGAATGCAGGTTGATGGCACAATGGTAACAAGGGATTTGGGTATATACAGTAGAAATTATGCAGAAGAAATTAATGAGGTATTCAAATAAAAGCTTATAGAAACTTTTGTTAACATAGTATGTTTGCAAAGATTATGTTAATTGTTATTATTTTTCAGATCATATGCACATTAAAAAATAATAAGGATCCTGATTTATTATTGCATGAAAAGAATTCCAGATTGAATGGTCTGGCATTATTTTCTCAAGGAAACACTAAAGCGACAAGAAAGCACATTTATCCAATTTTGAAAAAGATAATGGAAAAGTTATGTTTATGTAATGTAAAAAGCTGAAGTATATCTTTTCAATGTATCTTTAATTATATAAATATATATTATAAAACTTTATATTTCCATTAGCCTTTCACTTTCGTCTAGAAGTTCTTTTTGCTTTATGCTGCCTTCAGAAACTTTATGACTGTGTCCAATTAAACAGGCTTTCAAGTTAGAACCTTTTCCAATAACTGCATTGCAACCAATAACACAATCCTCAACAATAACACTAAAATAAATTAAATTCAGTAAATAATGAATAGATGTTATATGAATATAAATAACACAGTAATTACTTTTCTTCAATGATGACACCACTCATAATAAGAGAATTGGTAATTCGAACTTTAGGATTAACCACGCAATTAGATTCTAATAAAGTATTCTTCAAACTTGTTTTTTCATTGATGACATTCTTTATACCTATTATACATTTTTCATCAATTTGGTTTGATTTAATATCACTTGATTGTGATATTAAAGTCAATTCACTTTCATCCTTATTAATTTTTGGCCACAATTCCTTAATCTGAAAAATATTGTTACAGTTGAGAAGAAAATTGTTTTAATAAATTAATACAAACAATAATATTATTTACATGAATGTATACATTCATATATCATTACCTTTTGATTGCATAAGCAGAAAGATGCAATATTATTAACTCTTATTCCCAGGCAATTAGATTTTTTCACAACTGCATAACATTTAATTGAATCCCCAAAATACTTTGGAGAACCATTAACACTATCATTATATGCACTATTGAAATTCAATGTGTTATCATTTCTTAGCAAGTCCATCAAAGAGTTTTTCGAGTTTTCATTTTCAGTTGTACTTATTTTACAACTTAATTGCTTCTTAACAACAAGTGGTATTAATTCACCTTTGATAGTGGTAATATGCTTTTCGTAAGATAAATAATCTAGAATATCATTTCTAATAGCATAAATATGAGAATCTAACAACTTGCTAAATATTGTTAAAGATTTATGCTTTTTTAATAAGTGTAGAGGAAATGTTATACTTTCGGAATAATCAGAGGCACTAGCTAATAACACTAATCTGTTTGTTTGCTTATCTATACAAACTATGTCATGTTCTGAAAAATAGTTGTACATAAGTCGCATATAACAAAACTATGTATATCATTATAATTTAAATACCTGGTTTATAATAGTTTTTAGGTCCAGGTATAAATAGTTTCTCATCCATATTTGAAAAGAACATGCAACTAATAGTGGCATTATGTAGACGGAAAAGCAGCAACAATTCGTCAATATTTGACTACATAAAAATATGAAGATACTGAGACTCATTTAATAGTTTTATGCTTAGAAATTAAGTTAAATATATACTTCTGTAACAATATCACATGGAACAACCAGAACATCTCGAGTAAGTTTATCACGAATAAATCTCAGTGATTCAGCAGTACCATAATCTTCACTAGGAATACTAATGAAGTCTAATTTTAAATTAAGAGAAGTTTTATCTAGAGCACTTTGTATTTCAAGTTTGTGTGAGTCTAAGACGAGAACAATAGCCTCTAAAAGAAAAGTAATAAATAATTAGTAAAATTAAATAATTAATATGTATGGTTTTTCATACTGATAACCTTTAAATCCTTGTCTTTCTAATAAACGCAATGGATACCATATAAGTGGATATTGACCTATTGGTATTAAACACTTCGCTCTAGGTCCAATAACCTAAATAATTTTAAGTATTTTAATATATTGATAAATTATTTGCCAGTGATGCAAGATTTGTGCAAAAAATAACCTCAGGAAAACGAGACCCTTTTCCAGCAGCAAAAACAACAGCTTGGAATTCCATATGCATTTTAATTATTAAATAAATATAATTAAAATAAAATAAATTTTATAATTATTTGCTTTTTAATAAAACTATTATTGAAATTTACAGATTTCAGCTAGAAATATATTTGACTGTAAACTGACAGTTCGACGGTAGTGTCATCTATCTAAAGATATGCGAAAGATATAAAAATTACATTCATATTCAAATTTATAAAATGATAAAAAACTACACATTTATTGTATATTAGTATTTAATTTCAACTGATTTAACAAAATAAATATTAAATTGATATCAAAATACTAAAATGACTGATGGTGGACACATATGATAATATAAATTACTTTTCTTCTAAAGAAATTTCATGAAGTTACTAATTTTTTATACTAATAATTTTTTAAATTTAATAATCTGAAAAATAGATACTCACTTCAGATTAAACACAGATAATTGTGTTAATTGAAGAAAAAATTAACTATTAACCAATTAGATACATATAAATTATATACAATTAATATGAAATCATGTTATTCATCCAGGGCATCTCGTTTACGTTTTTTATATCCAGTAACCATTTGTCCAGCAGCAATGGCACTGTGTCCTTTCAATAGCCATTCATCCATAAGTAAAGTGGTATTGATACCATTTTTTAATAAACTTTCTTCAAGATTGTCTAATTTATTTGAAGATTGAGTACTATTCTCTGTATTTTGTGATAAATCCATTATATATCTAAACCTGTTTTTGAAGGTCTGCAAAAATGATATAAAATATAATTATTATATATTCACAGTTGTAAGATGTTATGTAATATAATTACTTCTATTAAAGTTTCTGCAATAGTTCCCCTAAGATCAAATTGGCACATGTAAGATCCTACTTCATAGAAAAAATTGCAAAGTCTACTAAGATCAACAGCACAAGCATCAGCTTGTAATATTTCCCTGTAATAAAATTCACAGTATTTGTAGCATATTATTTAAAATTATGTTATATAATAATAATTGTACCTATATTGTTCTTTATAAATTTTTGGAATTTCTGGTGTAATCACCCGGTTTCTGCCAACAGCCACTGATTTCACTAGCCAAAGTGGAAATTCCAATACCGTACCAGCTTTTAAATTTTCATTTGCAGAAGAAGGGTCTAAAAAACCTATAAAATAGAAAGTTGAAAGCTTGAACAAAATTCTTGTAACAAAAACAAATTATGTTTAGAGCATTATTTAGGTTTTCGAGTTAAAATTTTATTAAGGATGCAAATTGAATAATTGAACAAATATATATTAATTAAGTTCTTTGTTTGTAGTTTAGGAACTTAATAAGGAAGTTTAAATTGATTGATGTATGCTATAGAATTAATTTTCCATTACTATAAACAAGGTTTGTATAGTCCTTGCACACATTAGTCTTATTGAATAGAAGACATGCAATTGTTAGAAAATATTTTAAATATTTATTAAAATCTGTGCAATATAATACCTAATCCAGGTATTTCATCAAGAACTTTACATGGCAATCTTTCGTTTGTTGCTAAAATATCTTCTATAGTGAAATAGTTTGGATAATAACTTCTTGAATCCATTTTAATATAATGCACAATTATTAAATTATTTCATATTTTACTGAGTTGAAATTATAGTTTAAATGTTAGCTAAATTAAAACGAAATAGTGATAAAGCTAACCAATAAATAGGTTAAATAAATAACCACTTTATTTTACATTTACTGACATTTGTGCAAATAAATTATTAAGGAGAGATCACACACATGCAAACAATCCCATATGTATTTTGACAGTTACAGTTTGTAAATATTTACTTTACAATATTTACTATTATGATATTTTAATTTGATTGATCATTAATCATAGTTATTGAGTCATGATTAATGACAATTATCTAACAAAAATAATGGAATCATTTCCAGTAAACAAAATACTCTCACTGAAATGAAATTTAAATAGTAAAACATAAGACTATCAATTTTTAATAAAATAGTTTTTTCAAATTTAAAAGAGTCATTTCTATTTAATTTTTGTGTGTATTTTTTATCTCTTAATGTTTTTTGTATTGTTTATTTGTTAAAATGTGGAAAAACACGAAAAGAGGCCCTTTGCAAACAGATCCACTTCTAAGAGAACATGCATTCGAAGAGAGGGATCCAATTATTAAAGAACCATGTATGTACTAACTTTAAGTGAAGTATTAATAAAATTAGAATCTAACTCAATTGATATATTTAGGTTTGTGTTTGAAAGGTCTATGTGGCTCGTTCCTATTACTATTTATGCTGCTTCTTATGCTAATCACATGTTGGTATGTTTCGCTCTCTTCGATTTACCATGAAGAATTTTTATTTACACTGGACAGAAATAATCAGCCATCTCACTTGATTTCTAAAAAGTTTGCTAGTTTTGGACTAGACACATCACTTCTAGGAAAAGACTTTGGAAATTTGAACCTCAGGTTTTGTTTATTTCGCAAAAGTGTTTGAATTAGTATTCATAACAATATTATATTGCAGCGATGATTCAACTATAAACTTTATTAGACATCTCGCACCCGGTCATTTGAGATTTGGTGGCACTTTGTCTGATCGCCTTTTATTTATAGAAAATGGCTCAAAAGCAAGAAATAAAAGAGATGGGTTATTTGATGGTAGTATTTGCTCCTATGAACATAGAGAATGCAAAAAACCAGACCCCACTGATATTCTAATATTAACAGGTTAATATTAATTATCAATGCACATAAAAAACAAATGTAACTATTTAAAATAAAATATTCCAATAACTTCTAGGCGAAGATTTGCTACAAATAGCTAGTTTTGCAAGTAAAACTGGTTTAACATTATTATTTGATCTGAATGTACTCATACGTAATGATAATGGATGGTTTTCCAAAAATGCTGAGGACTTAATCAAATTTTGTGATACACACAATCTAGATATCAATTGGCAATTAGGAAATGGTGAGTTTGTTTTGAATAAATTAAACTTATATATTTATATTGAATTAAAATTAAAATTTCAGAACCTAATTCATTTAAACATGTTTTTGGAGCGCTCGTTGAAGCTGCACAACTTGCAAAAGATTACAAGAAGTTGAGGGAAATTCTTTCTAGCTACCCTCGGTACTCAAGATCTTTTATTACTGGTCCAGAAACTACTAGACCTCTTTCATTTGATAGCGATAGTGCGAAGTATATGAAAGAATTTTTATTCGCAGAACAGGACAGTATAAATGTGTTTTCTTGGCACCAGTAAGAATTAATACTAAAATTATAAATGATATAAATTTTAATGAACTGTTCAATAAAAATGTAATATATTGACCAGATATTATATGAGCGGGAGAGAAGCTGTTCTTAGTAACTTTCTTGATCCAAATATGTTTAATTTACTTCACGACCAAATTGTAATTGTGAAAAAAATAATTTCCAAGTATGGATCTACAAATATGCCAATATGGATATGTATGTGACTTTTTTCACTGTTTTTTCTTTTGACCTTTTTTCTATTGACCAGAACGTTATTTCTTTTAGCGGAGACTGGTTCAGCTTATGGAGGTGGTGCGCCAGGTTTATCAAATACATTTGCTGGTAGTTTCATATACTTGGATAAATTAGGATTGTCTGCAAAACTTGGAATAGATGTAGTTATACGACAGAGTTTATATGGGGCTGCATACACAATGATTTCAGAACAAATGGAACCACTACCAGTTAGTTTATTTACTTATTATCAAATGCATGCTATATACTCAATTATTAACTTATACAATTTTGTATAATAATTGTTTTTTTTTATTCAGGATTGGTGGATTGCGGTTTTGTATAAAACCTTGGTTGATGAACGAGTTTTAAGATCACAAAGCCACTCTAATGGACTTATTCGGCTTTATGCACATTGTACACCAAACAGTGTACATGTTTCGAATAATGCAACATTAACAGGTTTGTTTATTGAAATAAAATTCTTTTGTTATATAATTAATGTTTTTATGTATTTTAGTATTTGGTATGAATTTGAAGGACAGTGATCAAATTGTCCGGTTTAATGGAGCTTTGTATAATAATATGCCTGCTACAGTAAGAGCATATTATGTAACACCATATAAAGACAATCTTCAAGCCATGTAAGAAATATTTATTTTAAATTAACATTACTCATTCAAATATTAATTAACTTATTATTACAGACATGCAGTTCTTAATGGGATGATTTTAAAACTGACGGAAGATGGAAATTTGCCAGAGTTCAAGCCAATATTGCTTGATTCGCGACATCCTATTTATATACCGAAGTATTCAATTGCATTTTGGGTATTTCATGGTGTGGATTTTCCTGCTTGTAATTAAATATAATCTTTTCATAATACTCAAAAATCAACCGTATTATACATTATATAATTACAAATTATATCAGTAAAAGTCAATTAAATTTAGTGTAAATGATAATATATGTACGTGTAATATGTATTGTCAAACCCATAGAGTTTATAAATTTAAAATTGTATATATATATGTGTGTGTAATATGTATTGTCAAACCATAGAATTTATAAATTTAAAATTGTTTATATATGTATGTGTAATATGTATTGTCAAACCATAGAATTTATAAATTTAAAATTGTACATATATTATATAAATATCGAAATATATGCTAGTATGTTAAATATTAGTACTGTTTTATTTTTATATAAGTAATTAATGCATAATATACTCAATAGTAATCAAATTCCGATTATTTAAGTAGAATTTTTATTTCGAAAATCGTCATATTCAATATATTAACTATAAGTTAATAAATTAGCAATTAAAATTCTTACTGAGATGGTGTAAGGTCTATTTTTTGTCTATATAACTTTAATACTTAATTTAATCGTCAAAAAAATAAATATTATGACTAATGATCAGTTATCCGACAAAAACAGATAGTGGTTCCCCGGGTCCTTGACGATGTGTACGCGGGGTCATGAACCGCACTTGATTACTGTACAGAATTTATATCAGTATATTCGGCAATAACAAATACATTCACTTGAATGTAATAAAATATGCAATAGTAGTTATCACGCAGCAAATCATAATATTAGAACAATTTATACTAATTCTGAATTAAACAATTGTTTATATTGTTTATATTTACGCGCATACTTTTTAATCTGCAAAATATTTAAATATTTTGCAGATTAAAAAGTATGCGCGTATATATAAATGTGGACTTACTTTTAGATTTCTATAGTATTGGATGAAATAAAATGTTTGTTCTCCACATTGAATTATAAAGACACAGCATATGCTAAATATGTTAAATATAACATATGTTATATTTATATGTATATATAATATATTCAGTGGCGTCGGAACCGTGTGGGCTGTGTGGGCTTGAGCCCACCCATGAATTTTGATGGGGGGGCTCAGCCCACCCATGAATTTCAAAAAATTATATGGGCTAATATTTCTAAAAAAAAATGAGACCATTGGCTGCCTATTTAAAAAAAAAAAAAAAAACGAGCCCACCCATCAAAAATTTGGTTCCGACGCCACTGAATATATTGTATTGTATATATATATATTGTATATATATATATGTTATTATATGTTAAATTTACCATATGTTAAATTTGTTGTCTTATCAATATCATGGTCAAATTAAGCTTTTGTTCTTAGAGAAAATTTTCTAAATATCTTTAATAAGTTTTTTAAAATTAGTCTTACTAAAGTAATAATTTACCACTCACCATACCTATCATTATTTTTATATCCCATTACGCAAAGATCGAATTTTTATTGAAATTTTGCCGTATTGATTTTTCACATTCATCAAAGATCATTATACTGCTTGGTATCAGAGGGCAAGTGGTAATATATATAACTAGTGGCTCTTAACCACTCGCGTAACGTACTCTTCATTTAAAATGCCTATAGAGCATATTTTAATCTTTGTTGAACTATTTGCAAAAATATGAAGTTTGAAAAAAATCTTTGAGAAGCTTAGCATATTTGTTTAAATTATTTAAAAGCACAAACTAGTAGTGGTAATATAACGAATGGCTTTTAACCACTTGCGTTACGTACTTTTTGTTGAACTAATATATTTGCAAAAATATGAAGTTTGTAAAAAATCTTGGAGAAGTTCATCATATTTGATTAAATTATTTAAAAGCATTATGTAAACTATTTGTATATGTTACCTTACCGATCCATAATTTTCCATTGTGATCAGAGCCCTTTAAGGTTGTTCAGTTTGGAACCGCCGTGTACCCTCTGTATTACAGTTTTTAAAGACGTTGCATCTGCACTAGACAATAGCCCTGTAAAGGTAAAAAAAAAAAATTAAAGAATGTAATTAAATAACTAATATTACTCCAATTATCAAAACTTTGTTTTTCTTTATAAAACACCCCTCAGTACGAGAGCTCCGAGCTTCAGTACAATTTGTTTGAACTAAATGATAATACATTACTTTCAATTCATATTTTCACAAATTTTTCGCAAAATTTAATTTAATAGTAAATATTTTAATTTTTATATATGTGCGTGTATACACAACATTGACAATCTACCAGTTTTACAAAATGCTTTTAATTTTTGAATAATGATGATAATTAGAATTAATATCAAAACATTTTAGGGCAAGTAAAGCAACATTATCAAGTTACGAAGGTATCTCTTTTACTATGACTTAACAAATATTTTATTTTTATATATTTTGCTTAGCTATAAATATAAAATTTTTGTGAAATATTGTAAAATTTATAATAAATAATAATAATAATCGATAATTTATATATTTGTATTAAATATTAATTTATTCTATTTAATTATTTAATATTCAAAATAATATTTTAAATAATGTTCATAATAATTTCATGAACTGCAGTTACAATTTTGATGAATAAAAAACTATCTTTTAAATTTGACTAAAATTAATATTTATCTGGTCTACAAAAAGTATACATATAAAATAATTAAATAATTGTTTTTCTAGTATTATTTTATTATTCAGAAATTATATATATTATATATATTATATTATATATATATATAATATATATATATATATATATATTATTTATTAATTTTATTTTTATTATTTTTTGCTTTTATGTTATATTAAATCATCATACTACGGATATTATTTTAATGTAAATTCTATCCTTTTACACTCTTATTTATTTAAATTTATATTATTATTTATCATTATTGCTAGATATTAATTATTTAACAGTTGTAATAAATATTGTAATAAAAAAAAAATTTAATATCAATAAAAATGCATTTTGCTGCTATAGTCATGGTTTATTTTATGTATATAAAATTTTGCATTAAAAATAGTTAAAAATTAGAATAAAAATACTGAGTTTTAAGGTAAATTGTTCTATATAATATGTGTCTATTTTCGGCAACGACAAACACCTCTTGAGCAGCGACCTCCTCTGTAACCTCGACGCATGGCAAGGCAGTGAGCGGCGCACCCTGCGTGGTTTAAGGATCCCCAAGGTGTACTAACGCTTAACAAATCACAAGTAACACGTTTCTGGCGTACACCTGTGTTTTCTTCCACTAAAATAAAAACAAACATAAATGACAAAAAAGGCAACATAAAAATATATTATTATTAATATAAAAATTATAACAATTGTGTTCTTTACCTTGATCTAAATCAATAATTGCTACTTCTTCGCCAAATAATTCATCATCTTCAGCAAATGATTCGACAGGCACAGATTGCACTAATGCAAACATTGCAATGAAAGCCAAACAAAGCACTATAACTGATTTCATGTTTCTTCCTTACTTTAGTAAGTATTAGTAAAACTTTCTTATAATCCTCTCTAACGTGTATTATCGAATGATGATTAGTGCAAGGAAGAAGCAGTTTATATACCAAATCCAGTAGCCAAAAGTGAATCCCCTTTTCCGGAGGATTTGTGCAGATTGTGAGCTTTACGTTTTACGTTCTTGGAAATACCACAGTCTCAAATGTATTTGAAAACGGGACTAATCATTTTATCTTAATTGCGCTGTTAATTAGTTTACACATAGATCTTACCAACTGTGTCTTAATGAAATTAATGAAAGCAACTGATAAGAATATATTGCGATTATTATCTGATCTGTTTAAATATTGTTCTTAAAATTATAATTACTAAAACATTAAAAATAATTAAAGGCTTCCTGTATAATAACCAAAAACAATCGTTTCATGATAGTACATTATTTTTTATTATATTAAAAATAATATTTCACAGATTAAAAGTCTTAGGAATTAATCTAAAATGCGATTTGACTAATCCCTTCAAAAGGGGAAAAACTATATTTGATTATCATATGTATATATAAACCCTTTAGAGATCCATATCCATATCATTGCGAAAGTTTAACATTAAAATATTCGAGTATACTCAAATTTCAAGCTAACAAAGTATATTTCATTATGAAATTTTTATTGGCCATTTGTTTGGCACTAATTGCCCTGCTTGCATTGGCACAAAGTGTACCTTTGGATACATTTTTTGAAGATGAGGCCTTGCAAGAAAATGGGAATATGGAGCAAGGTACTAACGGTTTGTTTTAAATTTAAACATTACAAGATTTATTCTCATTGATGTAAAATGTTTTAGCATATATTTTTTATTATCTTTTTTATTTACAACTGTCCAGTAAAGGACATTCAATAAATTTGATGAATTTACAATAGTCGGCCGAAAAGGGACATAGTATACTACAAGGGCAGGTTGGAAAAAACAACTCAGTAGTTGTTTTTCCATTCGATATAAAATTCACAATATTTTATTGATAATTATATTATATGTTTTAGCATATGATTATGGAAATGAGGGAGTGCGACAAAAGCGAGTGACATGTGATTTATTGAGCATGAGCACTCCTTGGGGCTCTTTAAATCATGCTGCTTGTGCTGCACATTGCCTCACCATGGGCAAAGGATTCAGAGGAGGTCGTTGCGATAAGGGAGTATGCAAATGCAGACGTTAAAATTAAAGAGACACTTATTATTAATGATTAAGCTTACGTTAATATAATAAGCTTAATCATATTTACTATTTTTAATTTTACCATGTATTGTACATTCCGAAAGTGTAATATAGAGAAATGGGTTGTTTAAATAACTTGAATCATCAATTAAATATGTATGTATAAATATCAATGTATTAATAAAAGATAGATATAATCAGTATTTATACAATAACAATTGTATCTTATCATAACGTATAATAAAATAAATAATGAAAAACGATAATAAATATATTAATTTAAGATTAGTAACGTATGTCAAACAACGCACAGCAATTCATCACACTCAATAAATCGGGAAAATTCATATAACAA